GCATGAATTATCTATGGAGGCTTGTGTTCATCTCGGCACTTGAACTTAGGCCCTTTCAACTCCGTCCTGGTCCTTCAATGTTAACATCAGGGCCTTCAATGTCCACTTTGGGTCCTGAGACATCAATGTCAGCCTTGGGCAGGTTCACATCCACATCTGGGCCCTCTGCTTTGAAGCCAGGCATGCTGAACTTGGGCATTTTCATCTTGGGCATCTTCAGGTGCCAGTCTGGACCCTGAACATTAACATCTGGGACATCAATGTCCACTTTGGGACCTTTGAGGTCAACTTCAGGACCTTTCAGATCTCCCTCTACCTTAGGGCCTGTAACGTCCACATCTCCTTTTATTTTTGGACCTGTGAGATTCAGGTCAACATCTGGCATGGATATCTTTGGAGTCTTAAAATGCATCTCAGGCATCTTAAACTTTGGACTTTTCCACTTTCCTTCAGGTCCTTCAATATTCACATCGGGACATTCAACATCCACTTTCGGTCCTGAGACATCAAGGTCAGCCTTGGGTAGGTTCACATCCACATCTGGACCCTCTCCTTTGAAGCCAGGCATGCTGATCTTGGGCATTTTTATCTTGGGCATCTTTAGGTGCCAGTCTGGGTCATGAACATCAACATCAGGTGCGTCAATGTCCACTTTTGGGCCCTTGATATCAACTTCTGGGCCCTTGAGGTCACCTTCCACTTTAGGAAGGGAAACATCCACATCACCCTTTACTTTGGGGCCTTTCAGGTTTAAGTCAAAGTCAGGCATGGAGATCTTGGGGGCTTTGATGTTCATCTCTGGCATCTTGAACTTAGGCCCTTTCAATTTTCCCTCCGGCCCTTCAATGTTAACATCAGGGCTTTCAATGTCCACTTTGGGTCCTGAGACATCAATGTCAGCCTTGGGCAGGTTCACATCCACATCTGGGCCCTCTCCCTTGAAGCCAGGCATGCTGAACTTTGGCATTTTCACCTTGGGCATCTTCAGGTGCCAGTCTGGGCCTTGAACACCCACATCTGGGGCATCGATATCCACTTTGGGCCCCTTGATGTCAACTTCGGGGCCCTTGAGGTCGCCTTCCACTTTGGGCAGAGAAACATCCACATCACCCTTCACCTTGGGACCTTTCAGATGCAAATCAAAGTCAGGCATGGAGATCTTGGGGGCTTTGATGTTCATCTCTGGCATCTTGAACTTAGGCCCTTTCAACTTTCCGTCTGGTCCTTCAATGTTAACATCAGGGCCTTCAATGTCCACTTTGGGTCCTGAGACATCAATGTCGGCCTTGGGCAGGTTTACACCCACTTCAGGGCCCTCTGTTTTGAAGCCAGGCATGCTGAACTTGGGCATTTTCATCTTGGGCATCTTTAGGTGCCAGTCTGGACCTTGGACATCGGGGGCATTTACATCAACTTTGGGGCCCTTGATGTTCACATCTGGTACTTCAATTTTACCTTCTACCTCAGGCACAGACACATCTACATCCCCCTTGATTTGGGGTCCTTTGAGATTTAGGTCAACATCCGGCATAGAAATACTGGGGGCTTTGAAATGCATATCAGGCATCTTGAACCTAGGGCCTTTCAATTTGCCCTCTGGTCCCTCAATGTCAATGTCTGGCCCACTGACGTCCACATGTGGCCCTTTAAGTTCCCCTCCCAATTTGGGAACATCTACATCCACCTCTCCTTTTGCCTTGGGGCCCTTCAAGTGTAGATCGAGGTCTGGCATAGAGATTTTGGGAGCTTTAAAGTGCATATCTGGCATCTTGAACTTAGGAGTTTTCCACTTGCCATTTGGGCCTTCCACAGCTACTTCTGGCATGTCAGCATCTAATTTGGGACCTTTGACATCCAATTCTGGACCTTTTAACTCTCCTTCCAGCTTTGGGGCAGAAACGTCAACATCTCCTTTGATTTTGGGTCCCTTTAAATTGAAATCGACATCAGGCATGGAGATCTTGGGGGTCTTAAAGTGCATCTCAGGCATCTTAAACTTGGGGCCCTTCAGCTTCCCTTCTGGACATTCAAGGCTCACATCTGGGACTTCGACATCCACCTTGGGTCCTGAGACATCAATGTCAGCCTTGGGTAAGTTCACATCCACTTCAGGGCCCTCTGCTTTGAAGCCAGGCATGCTGAACTTGGGCATTTTCATCTTGGGCATCTTCAGGTGCCAGTCTGGGCCATGAACATCCACATCTGGGGCATCAATGTCCACTTTGGGCCCTTTGATGTCAACATCTGGCACTTTCATTTCACCTTCTACCTTGGGCACAGATACATCCACATCCCCTTTGACTTTGGGGCCTTTCAAGTTTAAGTTCACATCCGGCATGGAGATCTTGGGGGTCTTGAAGTGCATCTCAGGCATCTTAAACTTGGGCCCTTTCAACTTTGCATCAGGACACTCCAGCTCAACATCAGGCACCTCCACATCTACACTGGGGCCTGTTAAATCTCCCTCCAGTTTTGGTACAGACACATCCACATCCCCTTTGACTTTAGGGCCTTTCAAGTGTAAGTCCACATCCGGCATGGAGATCTTGGGGGTCTTGAAGTGCATGTCTGGCATCTTAAATTTAGGGCCTTTCAACTTTGCATCAGGACACTCCAGCTCAACATCAGGCACCTCCACATCCACACTGGGGCCTGTTAAATCTCCTTCCAATTTTGGTACAGACACATCCACATCCCCTTTGATTTTGGGGCCTTTCAAGTGTAAGTCCACATCTGGCATGGAGATCTTGGGGGACTTGAAGTGCATCTCAGGCATCTTAAACTTGGGGCCCTTCAGCTTCCCTTCTGGACCTTCAAGGCTCACATCTGGAACTTCAACGTCCACCTTGGGTCCTGAGACATCAACATCAGCCTTGGGCAGGTTCACATCCACTTCAGGGCCCTCTGCTTTGAAGCCAGGCATGCTGAACTTGGGCATTTTCATCTTGGGCATCTTCAGGTGCCAATCTGGGCCATGAACATCCACATCTGGGGCATCAATGTCCACTTTGGGTCCTTTGATGTCAACATCTGGCACTTTCATTTCACCTTCTACCTTGGGCACAGACACATCCACATCCCCTTTGACTTTGCGGCCTTTCAAGTGTAAGTCCACATCCGGCATGGAGATCTTGGGGGCCTTGAAGTGCATCTCAGGCATCTTAAACTTGGGCCCTTTCAACTTTGCATCAGGACACTCCAGATCAACATCAGGCACCTCCGCTCCCACAGAAGGACCTTTGATATCAACTTGCGGCCCTCTGAGATCACCTTCCAGTTCTGGCACAGAAGCATCTATCTCTCCCTTCAGTTTGGGTCCCTTCAAATTCAAGTCCACATCTGGCATGGAGATCTTGGGAGCTTTTATATTCAACTTGGGCATCTTAAATTTGGAGCCTTTCAACTTTCCTTCTGGTCCCTCAATATCCAAATCAGGAGCATCAATGTCCACACTGGGTCCAGACACATCAATGTCAGCCTTTGGCAGATTCACATCCACTTCGGGGCCCTCTGCTTTGAAGCCAGGCATACTGAACTTGGGCATTTTCATCTTGGGCATCTTCAGATGCCAATCTGGGCCTTGAACCTCCACATCTGGGGCATCAATGTCCACTTTGGGTCCTTTGATGTCAACATCCGGCACTTTCATTTCACCTTCTACCTTGGGCACAGACACATCCACATCCCCTTTGACTTTGGGGCCTTTCAAGTGTAAGTCCACATCCGGCATGGAGATCTTGGGGGTCTTGAAATGCATCTCAGGCATCTTAAACTTGGGGCCCTTCAACTTCCCTTCTGGACCTTCAATATCAATATCACCAACATTCACATCCATCTTAGGGGCTTTCACATCAATTTCAGGACCCTTCAAATCTCCTTCCACTTTGGGAAGGGAAACATCTACATCAGTTTTCAGTTTAGGAGCTTTCAAATTAAGCCCAACATCAGGCATAGAGATTTTGTGTGTCTGTATATTCATGCTTGGCATCTTGAACTTAGGGCCTTTTAGTTTTCCCTCTGGAGCTTCAAGATTCACATCTGGAACATCAATGTCCACCTTGGGTCCCGAAACACCAATGTCAGCCTTGGGCAGGTTCACATCCACTTCAGGGCCCTCTCCTTTGAAGCCAGGCATGCTGAACTTGGGCATTTTCACCTTGGGCATCTTCAGGTGCCAGTCTGGGCCATGAACCTCCACATCTGGTGCATTAATGTCAACTTTTGGGCCTTTGATGTCAACATCGGGAGCTTTTATCTCTCCTTCTACTTTTGGAACTGTAACATCATAATCTTTCATTTTAGGACCTTTCAAATGCAAACCCACATCTGGCATGGATATCTTCTGAGGCTTTATATTCATTTCCGGCATCTTGAATTTAGGACCTTTTAGTTTTGCGTCTGGACCTTCGATATTCACATCTGGAACTTCAACATCCACCTTGGGTCCTGAGACATCAAGGTCAGCCTTGGGCAGCTTCACATCCACTTCAGGGCCCTCTCCTTTGAAGCCAGGCATGCTGAACTTGGGCATTTTCACCTTGGGCATCTTTAGGTGCCAGTCTGGGCCATGAACATCCACATCTGGAGCACTAATGTCAACTTTGGGCCCTTTGATATCAACATCTAGCACTTTCATGTCACCTTCTACCTCAGGCAAGGACACATCCACATCTCCCTTCAGTTTTGGCCCCTTAAGATTCAGGTCCACATCAGGCATGGAGATCTTGGGGGACTTGAAGTGCATCTCAGGCATCTTAAACTTGGGGCCCTTCAGCTTTCCTTCCGGGCCCTCAAGGCTCACATCTGGGACTTCAACATCCACCTTGGGTCCTGAGACATCAATGTCAGCCTTGGGCAGGTTCACATCCACTTCAGGGCCCTCTGCTTTGAAGCCAGGCATGCTGAACTTGGGCATTTTCATCTTGGGCATCTTCAGGTGCCAATCTGGGCCATGAACATCCACATCTGGGGCATCAATGTCCACTTTGGGTCCTTTGATGTCAACATCTGGCACTTTCATTTCACCTTCTACCTTGGGCACAGACACATCCACATCCCCTTTGACTTTAGGGCCTTTTAAGTGTAAGTCCACATCCGGCATGGAGATCTTGGGGGTCTTGAAGTGCATCTCAGGCATCTTAAACTTGGGGCCCTTCAGTTTCCCTTCTGGACCTTCGAGGCTCACATCTGGGGCTTCAATGTCCACCTTGGGTCCTGAGACAGCAATGTCAGCCTTAGGCAAGTTCACATCCACTTCTGGGCCCTCACCTTTGAGACTGGGCATGCTGAACTTGGGCATTTTCATCTTGGGTATTTTCAGGCTCCAGTCTGGGCCTTGGCCTTCCACATCTGGTGCTTTAATGTCTACCTTGGGACCTCTGATGTCCACATCTGGAACCTGCATCTCACCCTCTATCTTTGGTGCAGAAATATCTACATTTCCTTTCATTTTGGGTCCTTTAAGATCCAGGTCAACATCTGGCAGAGACATCTTAGGAGCTTTGAAGTGCATCTCAGGCATCTTAAACTTGGGGCCTTTCAACTTCCCTTCAGGTCCTTCAAGGCTCAGATCTGGAGCACTAAGATCTACTTTTGGTGCAGAAATGTCCACATTCACTTTGGACAGGTTCACATCCAATTCTGGCCCCTCTCCTTTGAGGCTGGGCATACTAAATTTGGGCATTTTAATCTTTGGCATCTTCAAGTTCCAGTCAGGACCCTGCATTTCAACATCTGGGGCACTGACATCTACTTTTGGGCCTTTCAGGTCCCCTTCCAGCTTTGGCACTGTCACATCATATTCTCCCTTTACTTTAGGACCTTTCATATGCAAGTCCACATCAGGCATGGAGATCTTGGGGGCCTTGATATTCATCTCTGGCATCTTGAACTTGGGGCCCTTCAGTTTTCCTTCAGGTCCTTCAATATTCACATCTGGAACTTCAACATCCACCTTGGGTCCTGAGATGTCAACTTCAGCCTTGGGCAGGTTCACATCCACTTCTGGGCCCTCTGCTTTGAAGCCAGACATGCTGAACTTGGGCATTTTCATCTTGGGCATCTTCAGGTGCCAGTCTGGACCTTGAACCTCCACATCTGGGGCATCGATGTCCACTTTGGCACTTTTAAGTTCAACATCAGGAACTTTAATCTCACTTTCAACCTTTGGCATTGTGACATCATATTCTCCCTTTACGTTAGGGCCTTTCAAATGTAAGTCCACATCAGGCATGGAGATCTTGGGGACTTTGATGTTCATCTCAGGCATCTTAAACTTGGGCCCTTTCAATTTCCCTTCTGGTCCCTCAATGCTCACATCAGGAACACTAACATCTACCTTGGGCCCGGAAATGTCCACATCAGCCTTGGGCAGGTTCACATCCACTTCTGGGCCCTCTGCTTTGAACCCTGGCACACTGAATTTGGGTATTTTCATCTTGGGCATCTTCAAGTGCCAGTCTGGGCCATGAACATCCACATCTGGGGCATTAATGTCCACTTTCGGGCCTTTGAGTTCTCCTTCAAGCTTTGGTACGGTTACATCATACTCTCCCTTCACCTTTGTACCTTTCACGTGCAAATCTACATCAGGCATGGAGATCTTTGGTGTCTTGACACTCATATCAGGCAGCTTAACATCAGGGCGGCCTTTAAGCTTCCCCCCTAGACCCTCTATGTTGACATCTGGGGCTTCCACACTGACCTTGGGCCCTGAAATACTGACATCTCCTTTGGGTAGAGTCATATGCACATCTGGACCTTCCCCTTTGGCTCCTGGAGTGCTGAACGTGGGCATTTTCATCTTGGGCATTTTCAGGTTCCATTCTGGGCCATGTGCTTCGACATCTGGGGCACTGATGTCCACTATGGGGCCTTTGACATCAACTTCAGGGACTTTGACTTTCCCTTCTACTTTGGGGAGTGTAACATCTACACCCCCTTTCACTTTAGGTGTGGCCACGTTTAAGTCTACTTCTGCCATAGAGATCCTACAGGTTCCGGTTTTCCCAGAAGGACTGCCAAGCCTGGGGCCTGTCAAGGTTCCTTCTAGGTTTGGGGTCTCTATGTCCACTCTGGGGCCTTTAACTGCCACTTGAGGGCCTTTAACATCACCTTGCACCCCAGGAGCAGAAACCTTAATATCTCCTTTCAGTTTAGGAGACCCAAGGCTCAGATCCACATCGTGCATGGAGATTTTAGGTTTCTGAATAATCATTTCAGGAGTCTTGACTTTAGTACCTTTCATCTTTCCTTCCAGCCCACCAGTAGCAATCTCAGGCAGGCTGACATCCCCAGAGACCCCAGGAACAGTCACTTCACCTGTAGGCAGTGTCACATCAATCCCAGTTTCCTCTCCCTTTGCACCTGATACAGAGAACTTGGGGACTTTCATCTTGGGCACGTTCAGTTTGCTCCCAGGCCCCTGAACATCAATGTCAGGGGCCTGAACTTCCACACTGGGACCAGTGATGCTACCCCCAATTTGGGGAGCAGAGGCGTCAACCCCAATGCGCCCCTGTGGCTTGGCACCTTTCAGGCCTAGGTCACCCTCAAGTGATGGCCCAGTGATTTGGGGCCCCTTCAGCTTCCCCTCAAGGCCCTCAATATTGGCAGAGGGCACGCTGACTTCCAGCTGAGGGGCTTGGAGAGTCAAGCCTGGCTTGCCGCCCTTGTGCCCCACAGAGACTTCAGGTGCAGAAACCCTCAGCCCTGCCTCTGGCGTCTGGCCCTCAGGCCCTGTCAAGACACCAAATTTCGGCACCTTCATGGTGGGAATTTTAATTTTGCCATGATCACCACTCTCCAGAGATGGGCCCTGCACCTCTACTGCCCCACCCCCAAGAGAAGATGAAATGTCCACTGCTGGAACTTGGACCCCTCCTCTGCCACCCAAGTCCAAGCCCTTTGCACTGACATTGACACCTGAGCCTCCCACCTTTATCCCAGGCATGGTGACCTGGAGCTTTGAGTGGCCAGCACCTTGGAGCTCTGGTCCTGAAGCAGAAATGGCCCCTGCTCGGATATCCACAGCAGAGCCTGGCGTTGGAGAGGCTGCCCCCGAGCCCGAGGGCAGTCTGATCACGGTCTTTCCAGACTGGGTCTCCACATCCACATTGGAGATTTCAGTCCGTTCATGTCTTGGAATCTTGATCTTGAATTCAGGGCTACTGATGTCTATGTCCTTGGCTCCTTCCCGGCCGGTCACATCCACAGTGTAGGCCGTGACCCTTCTGGTCACCGTGATGGTGCGGCTCTGGGTCTCCCCAAGGTCTCCTTCCACTCCGTCTTCCGACTTCAGCCGTGGCTTGATCTTCGTGGTGTAGATGCGCTGGTACTCCTCATCATCCCCGCTCTGCAGAAAGACACGCCGGGCAGAGGTTGCAGCAGAGTCTGCCTGAGTTAGCAAATGCCCGGCCACAGCCCAGCCGACAACACGTTGCCTGTTTCCCAGAGAAGCTGGGACCAAAACAGAGGTCCATGGAGCCTCCTGGGCCACAGCACAAGGGAGTAAAGAAACGGGTTGACAGTCACATCACAGGAGGAAATCAGAAATTCTCTGGAGGTCATACCGGGAAGCAAAAACCATGGGGAGGGAGTGGGAGGTATACTCTTGGACTGGAAGGATTTCCATTCAGTTAGAGATTCAAATCGGCCTGTGCCAGGGAGACCTCCCAAGAGACCGGGCCCTTCAGCTCCCAACTCTCAACCCACTGGCTCGTTTGTTTAACCAGGAGGGGAATTTTCTCAGAGGCCCTTGTTCCCTGGAAAGCACTTGTTGAGCCTAAGACTGATTGTGCTTGGGTTAACAGTCTCACTTTGAGGACCCATTATTTGTTAAATAAACAAGCCACGAGAAGGAACAATGTCCCCACAGGCACTTTGCTGTCCAGCGTCTGACCCACAGAATGTATCAGGCCTCTGCAGAGGGAAAAATGGTGCCTGTGAGGTGGAGCTGGGCACCTGTGAAGTCATTTGAAAGGCTCTTGCAAAACAGCCGACCTTCCTCCTAGCGTCTAGGGCCGGGCTGCACAAGTCAGTTCCCACACTGTGACCGCTCTGAAGAGACTCATTGAAGACATTTAGGGGCAGCACAACCACATGTCACATGAAAGCAGAAAGAAGCAGGGTGGCCAAGAGATCAAGCGAGTGAAGACAGGTGAGAGGAGGAGAAGGAGCAAAAAGAGAGGCTCCGGAGGCAGATGGGAGGCTCAGGAGTGGGGTCAGCAGGCTGGCATGGCCGGGGGAGCTCAGGGCACAGATGGGCTGGCGAGGTACTCACCAGAACCACTTCAGAGCTGCCGGAGCTGAAGACTTCACGGGTCCAGGTCTGGCCAGGCTCGGGGGAGCGGTCCCCCTTGCGGTGCAGCTTCAGGCCCACCGTGTGGTGCCCCATGGTGTTCAGCAGCTGGGTCACCTCGTCCGACTGCAGGTTGTCAAAGTAGATGGTGGCACCCACAATCTGGTCCCCTGAGCAGGGAAGAGCAGGAAGCAGGTAAGGCCCAAAGAGCCTCAGGGAAATCGCACATAGCCACCACACACTGGGCACTGAACTAACTTGATCTCATGACCACCCTCAAGGTGAGCGTGGTAATACCCATTGTACAGACATGGAAACTGAGGCTTAAAAAGGCCAATTTGTGGGGGCCAGGCACGGTGGCTCACGCCTATAATCCCAGCACTTTGGGAGGCCGAGGCGGACGGATCGCCTGAGGTCAGGAGTTTGAGACCAGAATGACCAACATAGAGAAACCCCGTCTGTACTAAAAATGCAAAATTAGCCAGGTGTGGTGGCGCATGCCTGTAATCCCAGCTACCCTGGAGGCTGAGGCAGAAGAATCGCTTGAACCCAGGAGGCGGAGGTTGCACTGAGCTGAGATGGTGCCATTGCACTCCAGCCTGGGCAACAAGAGCAAAACTCCATCTCAAAAAAAAAAAAAAAAAAGCAAGGCCAACTCGTTTGCCCAAATCTGCAGAGCTAGTGGGTGGTGGAGTCAGATCTGGTGTCCACTACCCCACACAACTGCCTCCCCTGAGGACCACAAGTGACAGACACAGAGTGGCCAAGAGAGGGCAGGGCTTGGGTACCGCCCATCCTGATGCCACTGGGAACAGGCCCTCGGCAGCCACTCGCCCACTTCTGCCTGCTCCCTGCCCTTCCCTCCAACACCCCTGCCAACCCCCCAACCTCCAGCACCCAGTCCATACCCTGGAGACTCACCCTCCTTGACCACCCCAGTGCGGGCCGCAGGGGAGTTCTGCGTCACTTCCTGCACAAAGACGCCGTCATCCCTTTGGGCGATGGTCAGCCCGTGGGAGCCGCTACCCTGCCAGTTGGGCAGCAGCAGCTCCCGGGTTGTCTCCTCCTCCTTCTCCATCTGGGATGAGGTGAGGAAATGGAGCTGGGGTCAGTGCGGGTGGGAGGACGTTAGGGCACGGGAAAGCTAGCGATCTCCGGTGCTATAAACTCCAGGAGTGGGGCCCTTGGCAACGCGCCTGCCCCTGCAGCCGGCTCACCTGCCAGGTGAGGTGTTGGGGATGGGTTACCTCGTCTCACGTCCTTCCACTGTGGAAGTTCTCCCAAGGCATAACAAAGAAGATGGAAATGAGACAGCAGAGGCAACTGGCCCCAGAGGCAGCCAGTCCTTCATCCCTGTCCCCCACAGCCCCAGCCTCCCATCCACACGGGGCCCACCCTCCCCACATCCCATCACCTCCGCCTCTCTCTGCCTCTCCCACCTACTGACCTCTGCAGGATTCCGCTCAGGAGCAAATGCCTTGCCAGGAGCCCGCCCCTCCTTCCTCTCTTCCCCTCAGTCTCTCTCGTCAGGATCTCGGTCACAACCTAGGGGAAAGTTCATGATGATGCTCACACTCCAGTCAGCAGTCAGCTTGCTCCGAGTCCCCACCCAAGGGACAGCCGGGTCCTCTGCTACCCAGGCCAGCTCACAACCCCGACCCCCACCACTGCCATCAATTCCACTCGTCCATGACTCTCCAGCCTGGCATAGCAGAAAAGGGACTTCAGAGGAGCCAGACTTGGAGTCAGATCCTGGCTCTGCCTCCTTCTAGCTGTGGGACCCTGGCCAAGACACTTCACTTTTCTGAACCTCCATTTCCTCATCTGTGAAAATGGAGGCAATAAAGGAGAAAAAAATGAACACCAGCCGGCAGAAGCCGCTTCACATGCACATTCTCACCATATTCTTTTTATTTTTTTCTTTTTTTCTTTTTTATTCTTTATTATTATTATTTTTTGAGATGGAGTCTTGCTCTGTCACCCAGGCTGGAATGCAATAGTAGATCCTGGCTCACTGCAAGCTCCGTCTCCCGGGTTCAAGCCAGTCTCCTGCCTCAGCCTCCTGAGTAGCTGGGACTACAGGCGCCCGCCACCATGCACCATGCCCAGCTAATTTTTGTATTTTTAGTAGAGACGGGGTTTCACCGTGTTAGCCAGGATGATCTCGATCTCCTGACCTCGTGATCCACCTGCCTCAGCCTCCCAAAGTGCTGGGATTACAGGCGTGAGCCACGCACTCGGCCTCGTTTTATTTTTTGGGGACAGGGTCTGGCTCTGTCACACAGGCTGGAGTGCGGGGGTGCGATCACGACTCACTGCAGCCTCAACCTCCTGGACTCAAGTGATCCTCCTGCCTCAGCCACCCAAGTAGCTCGGACCACAGCCACGTGCCACTACAACTGGCTAATTTTTGTATTTTTGGAGAGATGGGGTTTTGCCATGTTGCCCAGGCTGGTCCAGAACTCCTGGGCTCAAACAATCCCAAAGTGCTGGGACTATAAACAGGAGCCACCGCGCCTGGCCTCGACCCACATTCTCAACCACAGCTTCAAGAGGGAGATGTTACTGTGCCAACTTCACAGACAGAGACTGAGTCTCTGAGAGAACAGCTTACCCGGGGTACACATGACAGCACAACTATGCTGGGCTTGGACCCGAGTCTGTAACTCCTTTTTTTTTTCAGACGGAATCTCGCTTTGTAGCCCAGGCTGGTGTGCAGTGGCATGATCTCGGCTCACTGCAACCTCCCCCTCCCGGGTTCAAGCAATTCTCTGCCTCAGTCTCCTGAGTAGCTGGGATTACACCCAACACGCCCAGCTAATTTTTGGTATTTTTAGTAGAGATGGGGTTTCACCATCTCGGCCAGGTTGGTCTTGAACTCCTGACCTCGTGATCTACCCTCCTTGGCCTCCCAAAGTGCTGAGATTACAGGCGTGAGCCGCCGCGCCTGGCCCACCGAGTCTGTAACTCTTTTGCCTACTCCATCCCAGGTCTGCCGCTTGTAACAGGTGGGAGCCTCCTCAGAGGCTGCCTCCAAGGAGGAATGGCAGTGTTCCACCTCCCTCAGAGACAGAGACTCGGGCCACCTGGTCTCACCCAGTCCCCGGGACCAAGGGGGTGCCTCACCAGCTGGCAGCTCTGGGAGCCCTGCCACAGGAAGCTGCCTGAACAAAGGAGGTCCCAGCCCCACCAGGCACCACCCAAGCCCTAGAGGCTAGAGCCCAGATGAGCCCCACTTGGCCCAGGGTGAGTCCAGGCCCACTGGCTGCCCACACCAGGCCCTGAGCCAGGCCCCTTTAAATGCAAGCATTTAGTAATAAATTCGCCCTCCAGCCACAGGATGAGCTGTCATCTGCAGGCGCCCTGGAAAGATACCAGGCAGGACTCTCTCTGCACAGGGCCACGGACTACAGCCACCACACAAAATGGCGGCAGTGGCCACCAATTGAAATGGTGTGAGGAACACTATAAGTCATGGGGAACCTAACCCAAAGCCCCGCCTACAGCTGTTTACATCCAAAAAGTATCAACAGTCAATCAATGCACGTATACCGGCTGCCTCCCTATGCCCAACACTATACTTTGCACTGCAGACGGAACCGGCCAGGGATGGACACAGCTGGGCCCGGCACCTAATCATACGCTGCATTAGACGGTGACCTCACGTCACTCACGCACCCATGTGCCGGACAGGGAGATTTAAGACTCAGTTTCTGTCACAGACACACATCAGATGAGCAAGGTGCACTAGCTGTGACCGATTTTGCCGCAGAATATTCCAGAAGGCTTGGGAGCTTTCTGGGGGAAATGAAATGTACATGGGGTCTTCAAGGCGCTAGAGGTGACCTCTGAGGACAAGACTGTGTCTCTTAGGAATTTGTGGGCACTTAGCAGTTCCTATCTCAGGCAGATCACAACACGGATGAAAGAGAAACACAGACCCCAGCCCCCGACAGCCATTCTCCCGTTTGACAACGCGGTGTGGACGACGTGTCTCCTTGTCAACACAGGTGCTGGCTACAAGGTGAGCAAAGACTCTGAGCCTGTGGGCTCAGGTGCAAACTGGGGAAAACACCTCCTCCCTTCCGGCCGCAGAGAAGGCTGCGACGGGAAATCACTCTGACCCTTCCCAGTGTGAAACAGCAAAGCTGGGACTTAAATGGCACATTCTCTCCCAGTGTCCAGTGCTCAGCAGCTAGCCCTGCAGAAAGGGAGCCGGGCAGAGGCAGGGAGGGAAAAAAGATTCCAGACTTCATCTCTCAGACAGAACTGAAGCCACCCCTTCAGATCGCCCAGACACCCCTGTCCTCCTCCTGGAGCAGGGCCCCTTTGCTCACCCCAGCATCCTGGTGCCGTGCCAGCAGCCAGCGATGGGGAGAGAGCTAGCTGGGCCAGATCACCCTCGCCCACACCTCGGCCCCACCCTCCCTTTTTCCCTCCCTCCCCAGTGAGTCACTGCAGCTGGCTGCAACAGCTCCAGACCTGCAAAGGGTTGAGCCTAAAACCCAAAGGACAAAGTGCCTCCTGGGCCAGATCCCCAGGTGCCAGAGGAACCAGAGCTCCCCTGCAGACAGGCAGTTAGCTTCCCTGCCAGTGCCTCAGGCAGAGTCCCAGGGCAGAAGTCCCTTTAGAGGCCCAGGACAGACTTGCTACCTGCCTCAACCCACGTGGTTCCTGAGGAGGAGAGAAACCATCCTAAGCAGACAACCGATCCAATAGCCCATGAGGACGGGAGCCATTGGACCCGAGGCTGCAGGTTGGCCCTGGCAGGGCACCCAATGGCTTCCCGGCCAGGTGGGGCGGCCAACCACCCTGCCCGCTCTGGCTCTGGCCCTGCTGTCCTGGCACAGCCTGGAAGGACTCCCCTCCCATCTGACCTGGGCCACTCAGTTCCGAGGAGGGGCATGGAAATACTGAAGGGAATAGTGAAGGAGCAGCGTGGGATACTATGTAGCCGGGGTTCCCCTTTCTCCATTCTCCACGTTTGGTCCCAGCCCTCAGTCTCTCCTCCCCCTCTGGAGCCTGTCTCAAGCCCAGGTGGCCCTGTCTTCTCCTCCCACACAAGTTAGGTTAAGTCAGGCTTTCCCCGGAGGCTGAGGGCTCTGCCCTGTTGCTACCCAAAAGAGGGTCTTTGGAGCTGTGGGGAATTCTGCACGATTCAGCCAAGTGCCATAAGCCTTCAGAGCTAGGAGAGACCTAGAGTCGTGCCACCCAACACAGCAGCCACATGTAGCTATTTAAATTTAATCAATTAAAATTCCGTTAAATTAAAATTGTAGCTCATTGGCTGCACTAGCCACATTTCAAGAGCTCAACAGTCACATGTAGCTACTGGCTACTATATTAGCATGGACACAGAACACTTCCCCCACTGCTGAGAGTTTTATGGGACGGCACTGCCTGTTACTTAAGGATGGAGAAAGTAAGGTCCAGAGAAATGAGAGAATGGGAGTGTGCTGGGGCCCTAGTCCCAGAGCCTGCTAGCACACAGCCCGGTGGTCCACCCCACAGCCTCCCTCGTGATAGGAAGAAACGAGGCAGAGCTAGGCGCGCTGGCTCATGCCTGTAATCCCAGCACTTTGGGAGGCCGAGGCACACTGATCGCTTGAGCCCAGGAGTTTGAGATCAGCCTGGGCAATATGGCAAAACCCTATCTCTATAAAAAATAAAAACTTAATTTTTTTAAATAAAAAAAGAAGGAGCAGGGCCAGAGTGGAGACTCCCTAAGGCAGAATATTGCTTGGAGGGCAGAAAAGAGTGAGATGGTGAGGCCACGCCAGCTGCAAAGGTGAGAGCACGCATGCCTGACACCGTGGGACAGGCTACAATTCAGGCCAGAAGCAGCGAGAGAACAGCCCATCCTGTCACTTCAAAACTGCAAAGAGGATGTGCCGAGCAGCAGGGCTCTGCCCATACCCTGCGATTGGGCACGACGCCAAGTAGAAGCAGGAGAACTCCAGGAAGCAGATTCTCGACCCCAGCAGATGGCCTCTGCCAGGGGTGACCTCCAGAGGAAGCTCCTTCCTCCACTGCCCTCGGAGAACAGTACCCCTTCCCGGGGCGAGCCAGTATAAAGACAGCCAGGATGGAAACCAGGCCAATTGCTGCAGCAGCTAGAGACAGCCCTGCAGCCAGCGTCAGTGTGGAGATGGCAGGAATTGATACACACACTCCCCCAGAGACAGGCCACAGGCCTCTGTGCCCAAATGCACCAAACCTGAGGACAAGATACACACCACAGGGGCCCACGACTAGGCATCCACCCAGCATAGGCGGGACACAGGGGGCAACCCTCCGAGGGGAAGAAAATCACCCCATCCGTGGTAGGGAGGGCACCAGCCACAGTGAAACTTCCACCCAGCACGGCGGCACGCACGTGGGTCAATCAACCCACCACACACACAAGGCCAAAGAGGAGCAGTCCTCATCCCAGGAATGACGTGACTCACGCCCAGAGTCAGAGACCCTACCCGAGGGGAAGCCCCCAACATTCGGAACCAGGAGGAGAGGGAGGCTATTCAGAAAGACACACCCAGAAGACAGTA